AAATAAAGTGCTTCTCTTAAAATGAAATATAAAAGGAAGTATAAAGAAATTTTAACGCACTGCAAAATGAGTAGCTAACACTGTTTACAAATTTATGTCTACAGTATCCTATATTTGGGAAATATATTCCATAATCAAGTTCCTACTCTTTTCAAAATTAAATGTTTGTGCATGCATGAACTTAAATGTGATTAATTAACTGAATTTTTGGGGCTTGCAGCTGTTCTAAAATGTGAACGTTTAAGTAAGTTTGCAGAACTGAAGGCTTAGACAGTCTCCTCATTTCATATAGGTGAAATTACCTATAATTTTACTGGGAAGGTAAAAAAAGTTTGCTTGGATATTTATATGTTTATTTTTAAGAAAGATATTCTCAGCTTTTTGAGTGACCCTGCTAACCTACCTTACCTCTGATACACAATAATTTTTCCTACACTTGGGAAAAAAAATAATCTAAAAGACACTTCTGTTGGGATAAAATATGAAATACTAAAGCAGAATATAAGAGATGGAAAAAAGTAATTTACAAATTCATTGCAGTAATACAGACAAATGCAAGAAATCCCTGCTCTAACCAAAAGGTAAACAAATGAGGGAAGCCAGCAAAATGGTAGGAGGAGGCTAGGATATAACTTACTACATTAATAAAAAGATGACTTTAAAAAAAGTTTGCTTCAAATATAATGAAAAATGAAAACAGTAGAGAGTAGGACAATATGGTAGGGTCACAGGCAAACAGATAAAAACTTTATAAAGTCAAATGTAAAAAGACTGGAGAGATGCCAGCTAGGCATGAGAGGAGTAAATGACTAACAGAAGGAGACAGTTAAAAAGAAGAGAAAAGCAGCTGGGGAGAGACTGAGATCTATTTAGGATTGTGGAAGTCCTTGTGGAATTTCATTCTTTATGAACCACCGAGGAAGAAATTATTCATGGCTTTATTGAAGCCCATAAAGCTCTTTAATGAACATCCTCATAGGAGAAAATGTAAAGCTATTGGGGAGAGAGTTTTCACCTCAAGTCAAACAAGTCTCCTGAAAAAAGAAAGTAATCTTCACTTTCTTTATCTGAATAGATATTAATTGATTACAATACTTGAAATCTTACTACACTCTCTTCCAAGGTGGCTGGCTCTTAGGTAGTCTATTTCTTGTGGACAAAAAAAATGCATCAGGAGCTTCACAGTATTAGAAGCATTTAACTGTGTGCAAGACTTCTGTTTCTGGGCAATTTTTCTTTATTTTTGTGTGTCTGAAGGAAGACATCTGACAGTACTAGGATATGTCGAATACTAAAATGATTATTATAGAATCATAGAATGGTTTAGGTTGCAAAGGACCTTAAAGATCATCGAGTTCCAACCCCCCTGCCATAGACAGCGACACCTCCCACTAGACGAGGTTGCCCAAAGCTACGTCCAGCCTGGCCTTGAACACACCCAGCGATGGGGCCTCAACAACCTCTCTGGGCAACCTGTTCCAGTGCCTCACCACCCTCAAAGTGAAAAATTTCTTCCTAATGTTTAATCTAAACCTGCCCTCTTCCAGTTTAAAGCCATTCCCCCTCGTCCTGTCACTACATGCCCTAGTAAAAAGTCCTTCCCCAGCTCTCCTGTAGGCCCCCTTTAGGTACTGGAAGGCCGCAATAAG